GTTACAAAGGATTCCCGAGAGATTGGTCCGTTACACTGAAAGAGAGAATGCCCTGAGATATCTCTGTTACAGAGAAGGCGAGAGACTATGCTGAGGCCACCCAGAGACTACCCAGCTACAAACAGATTGTCTAGGGCAGTGGTTCTCAACCTGTGTAATCTCAGGGCCCACATTTATCCTTGGTCATTAACTCGCAACCCAAGTCGCACTGCAATGGAACGCACAGCATTAGGGTACCGGGCGTTCCAATGTGGTGCTTGTACAGCTGCCTTGTGCACCCTGTAGAGGTCCCGGGAGCCAGAATGTGAAGTCAATCCGGTCCAGGCACCTCGACAGGACACGCAAGGGAGCTGTCAGAATGTACGTATGGATGGAGCTCCCTCGAGGACATACCTTCACCCCACCTCAAGTCAGCACTCAGCACCGGGCAGCATATTTTTAATGGCTGCTTGGCATAAGAACTGACAGTGCTACGCTTGGGGGAGGCTGATGAGCCCCTCACCTAGAAAAGTGGAAGTCATGCGGTGACCCACAGAACACGGGGTTGCAACCCACTTTTGGGTCATGACCCACCAGTTGAAAACCAAGGGCCTAGCGTATGAGTAATTCCAGAGACAGACTTATCAGTTATAGTGTCTACACTGAGAGACTGCCCATCTACAAAACAGGCCCCCCTAGAAACTGACCAATTTAAAGTGGGATGATCATGTAAAAAATAAGTAAAAGTTTGCTGTTATTTGTAACATGAACCTGTCACCAGGTAACATTTTTAGAAACAAAGGGCACGAAGCCAAAAGGTTAAAAAGTCCAAAAGTGCCTATAATTGTTACAACTTGATCGAACAGCCAACACTTTCAGGGACAAAAACTTTCTCCCCCCCTCCCCATCATCAGGGCTTAGAACAGGATAATAATGGAGATACTACAACCAAATGGATCTCTATATGTAGGGATGCATCGATACCATTTTTTGCAGTATTGCGTACTCATATTTATATTTCGGGACTCACCGATACTAAGTACCGATACCGGTACTTGCGCTAGCATGTCATTACCCCTGCCTGGCTTCTTGATTGCCCTGAAAGCCGGCTCCATGCTGTTTGACCGGCCTGATGCTGATTGGCCGGGAAGCCGGCTTCCCAGCCAATAGGCATGGTGCTGGCTTCCCCGCCACTCAGTAAGCCAGGCAGCGGGTCATTACCCACCGCCCAGCTTCCTGATTGGCCGGGAAGCCGGCCCCATATTCTTTGGCTGGATCGATACTGATTGGCTGTGAATCAGCTGGCAATCAGCATCGAGCTGGCCATACAGCTTGGAGCCAGCTTCCCAGCCAAACAGGAAGCCGGTTGGCGACTCATTATTCCCTGATTGGCCGGGAAGCCAGCTCCATGTTCCCTCGTGGCACTGCCAGTCAGAGGAAATCTCCCTGTGACCGGGAGTTCTGGTATCGGGGAAGGTATCCTAGCATTTGGGCGAGTACGAGTACTCGCCCCAATACTTGGTATCACCACCGATACTAGTATCGGTATCAGTGCATCCCTATCTATGTGATTTCGTATAAAGATCTTCTTTAAGGCTGGATTTGTAATTGGCAGCAACAGGGTAAAATGTATGTCAGATGTCTGATAGCACACAGCAAAATTTCATAGGTCATAGCTGGTGCCTGTATATTCGTACATAGCTACAGAAAGGAATGAGGGTTTCATGTTTTTTACTGTTGTTCAGAATATGTAAATACTTCAATATGTAGAGCTTGTAGCGGTGACTACTTTACAACCCACAGAAGGATCTCTGCACCAGTAGCCACCCTCCAGAAGGAAGGACAGTGTCAGCACCAATTCAGAGATGATTGGAGGATCTACAGCCGAGTGATACGCAAATAAGATACATTGTTGATAATATTTGAGGTACTTGGAGGCATTTTTAAGGTTTAACGCCTGAGTTTAGTGTCACTTTAAGCAGAGTAGTAAAGTGGCTTACTGGTTAGCCAGCCCTTCTGCCTTGCAGCATTGGGGGTCCCCGGTTTGAATCCTGGTCATGACACTATCTGCAAGGAGTTTGCATGGTCTTCCTTTGCTTAAGTGGGTTTCCTCCGGGTACTCCAATTTTCCCCCACCCTCCAAAGACTTGCTGGAAGGTTAACTGGCTTCTGTCTAAATTGGCCCTGTATGTGTGTACAATAAGGACTTTTGTAAGTTCCCTGAAGGCAGAGACTGATGCACTATGTAAAGCGCTGCATCGGCACTATATAAATACCTGTAAATAATAAACAGTCTGCCATATTTTTGGGAATTGCTAAAATATAAGACCTACCCTGAAAATAAGACCTAGTTGTGACCATTGCCTGGGCCGGTGGTGGCATAAGGGGGAACTTGATGAGCCGCGGGAGAGAATCAGCCGTGCCAATGAAGCCAGCGCTAGAGGAAGCGAGGCGGCAGCGGAGGGAGCAGTGCCGCATAAGGCGATGCTTCTTCTATAGCGCTGGCTCCTGTCACTGGCAGAGTGATACCAAATGCACTCCGCCTGTGAGGAATCGATAGTGAAAGTGCGTTTCGCTCATTCTGGCCAGCGTTTGGTTACCAAATTGAAAGTATGGCACCCCTGATTGCCCTGATCACTCTATTCTTAACTTTGCCATTTTGTATTATTTAATTTTGGATTTGGCGTTAACTTTGGATTGTTGTACATTAAAAAAAAAAGACCTACCCGAAAATAAGACATTGTGTTTTTTTTGAGCCCCAAAAAATATAAGACAAAATATTTTCGGGGAAACACGGTAAATCAATTAGTATTTTTTTTTCACAGAAAAAGAATTTCAGCTTTAATGGAGTGCAGTTTATAAAAATGAGTTTGCAGTACACATTTTTTAACTAGGTGGCTCTCATTGCCCACCTTCCATTGCCCGGTGGAGCCGTTTGAGTACACATCTGGCTCAGGGCTGAGGAAAGGAGAAAAAAAAAATCCCCGTCCTCTTATTCAGTGTTACTTAAAATGCAAGCGGTTATTTTTCAATTCTCACAGCAGAGCTGCGGCATCTTCAGCATTCCGCTAATAAGCTCACTTGTGATTTGAGCTGAAATTCTCTTCTGTTTGAACCTGTCCTTGACACAAGGCTGTCAGATATCGCCTATTTATTAGCAGATAATGATGTTTGGATAAGATGTAATTTAGTCCTATATGTGAGCTGATATTGAAAATCTCCATATTGAGCCTATTATACCTGGCTTCCAGGATTTTAATATATGTAAAACCCATCAGTGTCTGGATATAATGAGTTGTATCGTACTAAGGAAGCCATAAATTTTAACCTCTTCTAATAACGTTGATCCAGAGGAAGGCAGTTGGACAGTTTACCCTGAGAACCAATATCCTTCTTGACCCCATCAGTGGCAGTGGAATGGCAGCTCAGTGACTAAATCTGCTTTTCATAGCTGGCGATGGCGTTTCTCTTAAAGAGGAAGTAAAGTTAAAAAATGTCTGGAAGGTTGGAATGTTTGCCATATGAGACGTGCAGAGTCTGTTCTGGCAAAAAAAATTCTTCCTCTCTCCCTATTGGCAGCACCAGGGCGGGTGTCACTCGTTATGACGCCTATGGTGTGAGGTCTTCACAAAAGCATGGTGATGTACTTCACAACCGGCGGCCATCTTGATGATGGACGCCAGCAAAGAGAGGAGAGGATATTGACCTAGCGGGATATGGTATGCCACCAGGCTCTCTTTTTTTTTGTCACTGTGGGCTCTCAGTCCATGATCAAGTGCCCGATTTAGGTGGTGACAACAAAAATGACAGTCATTTTGGTGTCACCCCCTCTGATGGTGTTACCCGGTGAGGGCCGCACCCCCCTTGGGACGCCATTGTCTGTCCCCCAGTGAATTTTTATCTTTTTGTACACTACATGGCTCATGTGCTGTGCACTAAACACACTCAGCCCATGCACGGCACCCACAGAGGCCGTGAATGAACCGGGTGCCGGGGAGGATGTAACTTTTGTGCACATGTGCAGGAGTTACATCATCGGTGACCATCCAATGGCCAAAGAGAAATTCCAAGAACCTGGGAGTGTTGTTGGCGGTGGTGGCAGGTGGCAGCGCAGAGGTCTGAAGATCGATCTGACAGCCCTGGAGGAGGGCACACTTGTAAGGTAAGTGTGCCCTAATGTGCAAATATACTGTGCATACGCACATATTAGGGCAAAAACAAAATCAAAGCAGTTTACTTCCGCTTTAAGAAAGGGGTTCCGTTCACTTTTAAAGGGAAAGGCAAACAGCTCCCTTCACTGATACAGAATTGTGAACTGTCTTAGGGGGTCATAACATTATTTTTTTTTAATTTAGACATTCTTGTCACGCAGCATAGGCAGGTTCTGACCTTGCTTTTGTCTACTCTGGTCAAAGCTGAACTCTGGGCACAAAAACTTGCATCTAAATATGTTCCTCCAGAACCACAAAGGATATGAATCCACTTTGTGTGCACCAAATGCCTTTACAAACCTAGATATTAGCTTGTAAAGGTGGTGGTGACAGCCGGTGCAGAGATAAGAGCTGTGGGAGGTACCCAGCAAGCCACACCTACTACAGGAGGGGGGTGGATACAAGACCAGTCACCCAGCACAAGGAGAGAGAACAGCAGTGACTAGTCTTTTTTTTTACAGGAAGTTCCAAGTGTCACACTGGATTACTGCAAATTTATACAAAGCTCACCAAGATTCAAGGAAGAATACACATGACTCTTGTATTTAGACATTATTTGCTTATCCCAGAGTTCAGCTTTAAGAGGTAAACTACTACACATGCACTTTCATACCTGATTTTTCATATTTGCAACTGACAGGTAACCCAAACTGAAAGCGTGGGTGGGGGGGGGGATTAAAGTGGTATATGCTTTTAACCTACATGGCACCAGGAGGTTTCACATTAACTGATTTCATAGCATGTTCCTTTAAATACATATCCTGCTATGATGGAAAATAAATTGGATCATGTTCTGTTTGTATCTTACAGAAAGGTTTACACAGTACGGCCCTAAGAATCTCCGGCAAGCTTTTAATAAGTAAGTGAAACTTCTCCATTCTTCTTTTATAACAAAAAAAAAGGGCTGAGGTTTCTTCCTAATCAGTTTTTGGATGTCTGCTTTGTGCTTCATAATGTTCTATTGATGATTTCCATCATTTGCTTGAACTATTCTTGTACAAAATTATTGTTTCCTGTCTTTATCTAGATGTAATTATATCTGATGAGTTCAATAAAATATTAAACCCCTGCTGGCACCGAGAGCATGTAATAAAGGGAAATGGAAGTACTCTTATGTGAAGCCCCATTCATACTATTGAAAGGAATGTGCAGATTAGCGCAGCACATGGTAATACGCGATATACGTGTTGGAGTGATGCGTGCCGTTCATTCTGCACTGTGGCAAATGCTGCATGCACCTTTTTTGGTCGCTCTCAAATGAATGGTCTGCCATAAGGCCTAAAGAACAACTCCAGTTTTGTTAACCCTTGCAATGGGACTACCCCAGCACTGCAACGGTTAAGTGCTAGTTTCTGTCTAGGGTAAAAAAATAACAAAGTTATACTCACCCGATCCTCCGAGCCCGCTGCCTGTGACAGCGTTCCCCCCAGCCTGTCTCCTTTTCCACTGCAGCGAATGTATGTCGCTCAGGATCCTCACGTCCTATATGTGATGACTCGAGGATCCTTAGACCGCTGCAGCAAAGGAAGAGAGAGGCTCCAGGGACCAGTCTAAAAGTCAGCTTGGAGGATGAGTATTACCCTGGGCAAAAACGAGCATTTGGGTAGCCCCACTGCAAGGGTTAATACAATTTTCAGCTTTAATGCAGCGTAGCAATGGGAACGGGGTCTTGGAAAATAAATAGTACCTTTGCTTAAAAGTGAACCCTGGGCACACATGCTTTCACTCAAATATATTCCTTAATGGCCACAAATGATATAAATCCACTTTGTGTGCATCAAATTCCTTTACAAATGCAGATATTATTATTTAAATGTAGCAGTGACATCATCATTATGCTCTGGAAGCGCATGAAAACATGCAGAAGCTGCTGTTTCTCTGCTGGAGAGATTTTCCCTCACTTCCTGTTCTCATGACATCCATATAAGGGCATTTTGGATGGCACAGGTTGTGCTCAATGACAGTGTAAACCGCGATCCATGTGGCTGGAAAGGGACTGTAAAACATATGGCATACCAAATTGCTCTAATGAGCAGCAGGATGCTGATGAGACTTCATTCTGTTCATTCTGCTGTCTCCTCCTGTTAGCATGTCCCCATCAATACATATGCATGCAGCAATGCCTGATTGGCTTCTAGAGCTGCCCCCCCCCTCCCCCC